ACTTACTGAAGATAACAGCTGCTCTTACTAAACAGAAAACAGTCCCAATACTTGTGCCTACTCTCAGCAACAGAAGTCAAGACTACTCTTCTGTTACTAGTGCATCAAGAGCATTCATAATCCAAAAGATCACAGCAACTAAACCGAAGCTGCATCTTTTTTCAAAAAAGAATACTATTTCATGAGTATCAAATCATCCATTCTGAGGTAGACGGAAACATGGGAGAGGCGTCTGGACTGGTAGACACAGAAGCAAATGCAGTAACTAGTTGCTGCTCTGCAATTTGACAAGAGTATTTATTTTTTGCCAAGCAATTGGCATGAGTCTTCAGGTTTACGTGAAGCAACCATGTTTGCGGTACTGTAGCCCATCCAAGCCCTACTATTGCCAGCAACATAAAAACAACCTGTGACTCCTAACAATGCTGCTCCTCGGCTAACAAGTTGTGGAAGGGTCAGAAGATGTCTCTGACAGTGTAACAAGTGTCAGGATCGGCACTGGAAGCACTACACCTTTATGTCCTTGAAACTCTGGGGTTTCAACCCCAAGCCCCAAATTAAGGTCGCCATATGGGTGATTCCCACAGCCCTTCACAAAGGGGAGGTGAGTTTGCCTTTAGGCTTCCCTCCAGGGTACGGCCGGCCTTGCAGTGAGAACCATGAGGTAAATGAGCCCCAGGTGTCCCACATTAAGGAAACAAGGGTCAGGTGTCCCACTTAGGGATAAAAGCTGGGACCCCTTGCAAGAAGGGAGAGTGTCTGTCTGTGAGGTAGATGCACTTTGCAGAGTTCCCTGTTGGGGAAGGACCTCCTGCCTCCCTGGAACTGGGCTCCAGTCAGGTCTGGCCTTTGCAGACACAGGCTGTGTAGAGATTTCAGTATGTGGCTTCCTTGGTCTTACATATTTGGCTTGTTGATTCGGTTGTCTCCCATCCCTTCTATGGGAAACTGCCTTTCACCATTTATTCCACCCCTTGTTGGTTGTGCAGTGTCACTGTTGGGGTCAGTGGGATTGATGTCGATTATGTATAATCTGGCTGACTTGTTTGTACCCCCAGCGCTCGCCGATGTACTGACCCTTTTATATCAAATACAATTTGGTTATTGGTTCATCTTTATGCTGGCTGTGTCCTTTATGATAGGCCTAATAATTGGCAAAACAGTCCTGCAGATTCAGGACCAAAAATTTGTTTTACTTTCTTGGATCTGGAAGATATTTTCTTCTGCTGTAGAAGAGTAAGCTGGTGGTTTGGTGGGTTTTTTTTAAGACTTGACAGCAACCAAGAGCCTCTCAACTTTAGATTTCCATCAAACTCAGAGTGTTTGTATGAGTTAAGAAGTGATAAATTACCAATAAAATTACACCCTATGAAGTCAGGACTGTTTCCAAGTTATGAATTCCTGTAGTAAAAGGAACAGTTGGTTCAGCTTCAGTATGGATCAGTTCCTCTGTAGAGAGTGTTAAAGTAGTAGCTGTGGTATACAGCTGTCAAAACCATGAGAAGCTGCCTGAGTTAGTGTTGGCCTCTTCTCTTTATCCTTAGAGATCAACATTTAAAGACAAATTTAACAGTTTGGATCCCGTTAAATCAATCTATCACAGAAACACCAAATCAACAGCTCTGTCCCCTTTTTAACTGCATGTCCACCTTCAACCAAAATGTGATAAAAGCCTACCAAGTTACAAGCCTGTGGTAGAGAGAATTCTTGGAGTTGGGCAGGCAGAGCTCAGCTCTCCCACATCACCAAGAGACTTCAGCATACTCTCCATGAGTAGTAAGCCATTCAGCTGATGAACACTCATCACTGTGCCAAACAGAGGATCTTAAAACAGCACATCAAAACAAGCAGCATATCTTCAAGTATCACTGCAGTAATCTTCATCTCTGGCAGAGAGTTTAGTCTCTGGAGACAGGAGATAAAAACACTTGTTCATTTTGGACGAATACTGTAGGAAAAGAGACATCGTCAGGTTATTTCCCCTCCTCCTCTGTAATACCAAATGCAGTAAATTGTCCAATTAATTTATCTGGGGGTTTAAGATTACCAGTCAAGAATCCAATTAGACAGTTTAAATGCTCTCATACAAAAACAAGCCAACAAAAAAGCAAAAAATCAATGATTTACTTGGAACATAAAAGCAGGAACAGGGTTGCACGGGTATCACAGATATATGGAGTAAGCCTAGCTTTTGCATAACCATTGTAGATGGTCTCTCTTTAAACCCCTTGGTTATTTGGGCAGTGTGGTTCCCTGGAGTACTACCACATGCCTTGCATTCTGGTAACCTCACAAGCATTCAAAAAGAGAGGGAATTCCCTACTCTTCAGAACTATACAAACTCTAGAAGTACAAGACAAACAGCTCCCTTTACTGGCCTTCCTTATTCACTGAGTAAACAGGCCACTTCAAGGAAAAAAAAATCTATTCTTGGAAAACCAAAGAAAAAAAAGCTTTTTAAAATATTGTATTTTTATTATTAAGTGAAAAGCAAAGCATTCCATTATCCTTATTACAGATCTGTATGGCTCCTACTTGGTAGATAACCTTCTGTCAAACAGAATGTAAACTTTTCCCCAAGCTCTGCAGTTTTCTTTGGATATTAAAAATTAATACTTCAGTGCCCTGTACTTCCCAAACATGCTGCGAAGTCTGCAACACTTACAAAAAAGTGAAATTCACTAACAGTAAGTACAGTTCTACAGTGAGTTAAAGATTCTTGTACAAAGACACAAGTGTCAAGAGACAAGACCCCAATACATCAGCAGCTGTGTCAAAACAATACTCCAAGTATTCATGAACTCTACAGATGCGTTTTAACACGGTGTTTCATCTTATGTGATTGCAAGTTGCCACTGAAAGTCTTACTTTTCTCCTCCACTCTTAGGTATGGATTTCCATTCTCCTGCTTGTGGTGGTGCAATTCTTACCCCTCCCTGCCTGCCTTGTTAGGCTGCTTAGTGCCAGGTGTGATTCCATCCACATTCCCCCAGGCCATACACCAATCTATGGCAATAAGGACCGATAACCTTGAGGATCCTGGCTCCTGCCCCTCCCAATTGCTTGGAAAAGGTTATAATGGCCCATCATCTCCTGATGGTGTGAGAAGCCACATCAGCAAAACAACCCCTTTTGATCCGATTCAAATAGCCAGTTTACAAGGTCGTTTTGGCCGTAAACCGGGAGAAACTGAAACTGAGTACCTATGGAGAGTGTCTCTAAACGGGGGAGATAGAATTTTACTAGATGGCAGTGAAGCCAGTGGTTGTTGGGGTCCTGGTGTCTTCTTGGATGCTGGTCCCAACCCCCCGACTGACCCCCACTCACTAACAAGCAGAGTGGCCTATTGGGCTGGTGGCATTGATGTGTTAGAGGAGAACCTGTGGTGATACCTATCAAATCTCTAAATGACCTCTCCGCAGCTTTTACAAAAGCTGCCTGTATCCAAGCCATGCATCAGCGTAATCCTACTGATGTTCCTCTTTCGGCACCTGTAGCTCCTGCTATACTCAAACCTTTTCTCATTGCAAAACGGGATGAGATCCAGAGAGACTTAAATTATAATGAATTGATAAATCTACCACGAACTGTTGATAATGGTGAGGAAGTAGACTTCGAATTAAAAGGATTACCCACTTGGGCAACATTAGTGCATGAAACTATAAACTATGCCCGAGAAATGGGATGGAATGAAATTCCCAATGAAACAAAAAATACAGGTCGCACTATAAGGCAAATTAAACAATCGCATCAAAATAGTTCTCAGGAACAAAACCCCCCTGACCGACAATCCAGGGGTCAGGAATGGAGAAAGGAGCTATGGAAGCGAGCATTGTCACTAGGAATTCCTAGAGCCGCGATTCAGAGGCAGCCTACTGGCGTCATTCTGAGCCTAATTCAGGCATTTCAAAGATGTAACGCTCCAAATACTCCAACTTCCCCATCGGCAGCTCCCAGGAAAAAATATAATCCTTTCCTCCCTCAAGAGGATCAGTTGCAAAACACAAGATCAAAAAACTGATAAGGTCCGGGCGGCAATTGGGCCTGCCAGTCCGGCAAGTAAAAGCTTATCAGTGGATAAATGAGAACGGCCCTTACATTCTAGTTCCAGTTGGTCCTCAACAATAATTAATAAAAATTTTAATTGATACTGGTGCACAAATTTCAATAATTACAAAGCGACATGCCGACAAGGTAGGCATACGACCTAGCCGGCGAAAGGTTAAAATTACGGGAGTTACAGGAACTAGCGCTGTGTGCCAGACAGCAAAACTTAATTTGCGGCTCCCTGGCGAAAAACGTGTAACTCCTCTTCGCTTTGCGATTAAGGAGCACTATGAAAACATCCTGGGTTTTGACGCATTGAACGGCCGAACCTGGCGTTTGCCAGACGGCAGCCTGTGGTCCTTCGGTTCAATTGCCAACCCTCACCCTAACAAAAATCAACCAACTGCCACAGTGCGTGTACTCCGTGCAGCTCCAGCACTTCCCGAATCAAAAATTACTAACAGTACCATATTTCTGCTGCGGCACGAACTGGGATTTCTAAAGTAATTGCAAATTTAGAAAAACGACAGATTACTTCCCGAACTCACTCCCCATACAATTCTCCTGTTTGGCCAGTCCGTAAACCAGACGGGAGGTGGCGTTTAACAGTCGATTATCGGCGTTTAAACGCTAAATACAGCCCCATTGACAGCGGCAGTCCCCAACGTTGCAACTTTAACCGCTACACTGCAAGCCGCCGCACATCCTTGGATGGCAGTGCTAGATGTAAAAGACATGTTCTTCATGGTCCCCTTAAGGGAAGAAGATAAAGAAAAATTTGCCTTTACATGGGAGGGTATCCAATATACCTTTAACAGACTCCCACAGGGA